TGAAAATATTTCCTACGATCATGACATAGAAATTCAAACATTTCAATGCATTTCTTTATTTTAGTTTTGATAAGTGACAGCTAAAACTAATTTTTTTTTACTATTCCACGATGCACATATATGTATCGTCACAAAAGATTTTTAATGTTTGACTTGTTTCTCTGCTGCAACTCAACAAATGTGGTGTAAAAATAATTTTAAACTTTCATTTGACCTCTGACCTCTGACCCTCTCCTGCAGGTGTGGTGGTGAACGGTCGGTTGATCGGCTCCAAGCATCTTCACAAATCCCACCTCCGCACCTACTTCGGCACCATCTCGATCTACTACCAGCCCGACGGGCTCAGTGTGACCGTCGGCACCGACAGCATCTCCATGAACGACGGCAGCAACAACCACACCTTCACCTGGGGGGCCACGGCGGAGATCTCACAGGACGGGTAACCACCGCAGCTTCGGAGAGGACGACTGCTGCTGCTGCTGCTGCCCGTCCGGATGACTTATTCTGATGTGTCTGTTTCAGGGTGAGGATTTCCATCATGAAAGACTCTCACGTCACCGTCACAGTGAACAACAACATCCAGGTGATGGTGCTGCTGCACCGTGTGTGGAAGAAAAATCCCGCCAACGTCGACTTCCTGGGGATCTACATTCCCAACGACAACCAGTACTCCCCTCTGGTGCACGGCCTCATAGGTGACGTCTCTCGGTGACTCTCTGATTTTTGAGATGTGGTTGTTTTAGATCAGGACGAGTTAGTGCCATCCAATGGAACCAAAACGTGTGTGTGTGATGTCACAGGTCAGTTCTCCAGAGAGCCTGAAGCGAGCGTGCACAACGTCCACGAAGGAGTCGACCCTCTGAAGAAGGAGGCCACCATGGAGGTGAAGGGCAACAAGCTGCTCGTCACCAGGTACAACTCGTCACAACAATCAGTTCACAGATACAGAATGTGAACGCCATCTTTTTTCTTCTCTTGTTTCCACCAAGTTTTAAACTTCAGATGGGACACGGTTATTACATGTGTGAAATCTGACAACATACATGTGTGTGTGTGTTAGGGGCTGGCAGAAGGACTACAGGCAGGATAAGCGGCGCGGCTCTAACATTTACTGCTGGTTCATCCACAACAGCGGGAAGGGCTTCATCGACGGCCACTACACCGACTACATCGTCCCAAACCTCGACAGCTTCCTTCAGACGCTCTGAACACAGAGACGCAGAAACCTTTGTTTTTCTCCTCCGTTGTAAACACGTGTAACTAATCAGTTTTTCTTCAAGAGTAATTTAATCCATTTCTTCACAGATTACGTTTCAAATAAAAAACAGACGTCACTTAGGTTGAATTTATTTGGACAAAATTTACATCTGCAATCTTAAGACAACTTGAAAATTAATCCAAAAAATAAAAAACTAAACAAATTGAACTCATTGCTCTTTGTTTGCCGCTCACATCTCACTGGAAAAGCATTGTGGGATATGTACAGGTACAGGTGAATTGTGGGTAAGTAACTCTGACACAGTAGAGCCCCTCAGCTAAATGGTTTCCTGAGGTTTTTATAAACGGAGGGTTTTTGGATCAGGCCAGTTTCGAGAAATCCTCATAAGCGACGTCCACGGTCTTCCCTTTCTGGTGACCCTGAGGACGAGAAGACGCAAAACTTTAACGAATAAAAAGTTCAGGTTGAAGACGTACAGTCGATAAGACAACAAGGACTAAAGGTCTTCGCAAACCAAGACTGTATTTGTTCGTTGCACGTTTAAACATAAACCTCGCGTGTTTATGTTTATGAGAACTGTGAAATGGTTCCGGAGATTTGTTTGATTCTGTTCTGGATAAACTGGATCACAGAAATGAGTTTTCTCCTCCTGAACATGCGTCAGATCAAGTTTCTGGCTGCTGAAGCCTGGAGACACTCACCGAGTCGAGCGTGAGCGTGGCGCAGAATTTCTTTTCGTCGATCCCCTCGAGCACAGCCTCCGTGTCTCTGTACGAACCGTTCAGGATCAAAACCCGTTTTCCTGCAGGAGATGTGACAACACAGCTGAGGCACACGTGGAGCTGGACTTCACTTACGAACCTGTGCGACGTTAACGGCGGTTCACCTGGTGCAGGTATCACCGTCTCCACGTGATTCTGGTCCAGCTTCAGCTTGTCCCCGGAGTCGATCATTTTAACCACGGCTGCGTATTTGTCTCGCACCTCCTGCGGCGACAGGATCCACGGAGATCAGCATCGTCACGTGCACAAACATTCAGTGTCACTCACAATGAACACGCAGCGTCGTTACCGTGATGACAGCCTTCTTCTTGTGGTACTTCTCTCCGAGCCTCTTGGTGACGACTTTGACTACGATGTTGGGCTGCAGCCAATAATCCGTCCTGACCGACTGCTTCTTCTTCTCCTCCATCTGAAAACAACACAAAATCGAATTAAATTGAAATTCTAATTAGAAAAATAAAATGTGAAACTATGAAGACAAGACTAAATCATCTCCTCCACCTCCATGATCTCCTCCAGAGCAGATTTCTTCTTCTTCTCCGATCTGGACTCTGAAGTGGACGACACGTCTTTCCTCTTGGTCGAAGACGACGCCGCAGATTTGAGAGCACTGGCCCCGAAGACAGAACTGCACCCGGACACAGAAACTCTTTCAGACAAAATATTTCTAATCATTTCCCCTCGAATGATCGGCATCGTGCACAGAGGCGTCTGTACCTGGACTTGGAAGGACCGGCGACAGAGGACGAGGCTCCAAGGTTGAAAGCAACTGTGGGAGAAAAACACGAGAGGAAAACTGTTGAGGCTGAAGTTTAGGTTGTGAAGCAACAGAACAGTAAATACAGTTTGTTTGGCTCTTGTTCTTCAACCTTGAACACTTTTGTATTTCTATCGTGTTTTTGAAGAATTGAAACCAGATCCAAACCTTTTTCTTCTTCACTCTCTCGTTTCAGTTCGGTGTAAACTGGATTTTCCTACAGAATCAGAAATGATGCATTTTAAATGTTAAACATCGAGTCTCTTATCGTTCCTCATTGAGCTGATCACGTGTGAACCTGTGAGGTCGTGACCCACCTCAGGCTCCTTGTCGCCGCGGCCCCTGCGGACCTGCTCCTCGATGAACCTGGCGCTTCGCTCCTCGTCGTCCAGCTCCTGCTTCTTCTTCCTCGCCTGCTCCTCCTGACGACGGATGGTCTCCGGGTCGCGGTCGATGTACTGGACGTACCAACCTTTAGGCGTCTCGTCCACTTTACACAGGCCTGGGGATCACATGTCACGGGTTATTGTTTGAGCAGGATGTGATTTACTCAAGAGGTCACATGGCTGCAGGGGTGTCCTCCAGGCGTCCTCGCACCTAGTGTGAGTGTCTCTGCTCACCTTCTCTGCCGAGCCACTTGGTGAAGTCGGTGAGCGTCTCCCACTGCGTGGAGTTCATGTGGATGTGCTCTCGGTCGCTGATGTACTCGTTGTACACGATGTTGTTGTGCACTCGCTTGGTTCCTGCAGGTCGAACACACACACACACACACACACACACACACACACACTCTGTGTCAGTCACAAAAAAATCTCACCTCTGACAGAAAACACTCGTTATGTTGCACTTGATAAACTTATATTTTATATCCATCTATCTATGTGTCTATAACCTATCCATCTATCTATAGTCCACCCATCTGTCCATGCACAGCTGTAGTCGGGGGACAAACATCTGGATGAGTGCGGACTCACCGAACCTTCTGCTGAGCAGCTCCAGGAACCCTCTCTTGAACTCGCTGCAGGAAAGAGGCGGAGAAACACGAGGGATGAAATCACGCGTCACCTGAGTGTTTGTGTCGATTTGATCATTTTCCTGGTTTTTTCACTCACTCGGAGAAAAAATCCATGAACTTGTTGGGATCCTCTGACGCGAGCAGCAGCTGCCTCTGGTGGGACTCGGACATGCAGTGACACTTGAAGCCGTTCTGTCCCCGAGCAGAGTCAGAGGTAAACAACAAACAACAACAACAACAACAACAACACAAAGAACAACAACACAAAGAACAACAGGAAGTCACGGAGACAACAACGGGTCCTGACCTCATCTCGACACTGTTTCTGACACATCTGACAGTACCAGCGCAGCTTCTGGAGACCTTTGGACTTGATCCGGTTCCCTATCGCCTTCGGGGACAGAAAATCCGCTTTTCCCATCGCGACCAACCGACACGGAGCCGAACAACCGACCGAGAGACGCGAGGCGCGACGGGAGGAAGCTTCCGGGAGCTGTGTGGAGATCTCGCGAGAACGCGCGCGCACACACGGAAGCGTTCACGGGCTCCTCGCGAACTGCGGATAATCCAGACACTTGACTTTATAAACTCGATGTGACGCAGATACTTTCTTTAACTGGGTTTTGATTCTTCAAAATAATCCTTTAAAAAAGTTGATTACGATTAAGGGTGACTCACAATACCGGTCGTTAATGACGACGCAAAAGAAAATAAATTAAATTAAAAAAA